GTGGTAGTGCGCACCTGTAGTTCCAGCTACTTGGAAGGCGGAAGGATCGCCGGAGCCCAGCAGGTCAAGGCTGCGGTGACCAGGAGCGTGCCACTGCACTTCAGTCTGGGTAACGGAGTGAGACTCCAACTCTAAAAAAAAAAAGAAACCTGTCCAAAGACCAAAAAAACAAAAACAAAAGTTCTAGAGAGAAAAAAATTCCAGGTTACAAAATGATTCAGGGTGAATTAGTTTAGTTACACCTGGAATTTAACAACATGTTCTATTTTTATGTTTTTACGTAAAAAGCAAAGTTGAGTCAGTATGCCACCCTCTCTCTGTAAGTACACCTTTTGTTTTTTTATTTTATTTATTTTATTTTATTTTTGTTGAGTTGGAGTCTCACTCTGTCGCCCAGACTGGAGTGCGGTGGCACGCTCCCAGCCACCGCAGCCTGGATGTGCTGGGCTCCGGCGATCCTTCCACTTCAGCCTTCTGAGTAGCTGGTACTATAGGCGTGTGCTACCATGCCCGGCTAATTTTGGATTTATTGTAGAGATGAGGTCTCACCAAGTTGCCCAGGCGGGTCTCAAACCCGCGGGCTCAGGCAATCCACTCACCTCAGCCTTCCAAAGGCGTGGGATTACAGGCTGAGCCACCGATCCCGGCTGTAAGTATACCTTTTATAAGCCATATGGTTTAGACCATATGGTGATAACCCCTACCCATCCAAAGGCAAGCATACTAAATTACTAGCTAAGGACCTCAATGGAAACTGTGTTCTAACTATTCTCCTTGCAAACCTAACATCATAAAGTGATGACAAACACTAAATCCCCTTGTCAATAATTCCCACTTCTGCATATATTCACAAACTCTAATCTCCAGACCAATTAAAACCTCATATTTTGTTCCCTATTTCCTCAGGGTTATATTCTCTGAGAACTCATCTGATACATAATGTGAAAGTACTAATATCTGATGACAGCACATCAGTGTTTCAAGATCGGAAATCAGTTATTTATTTATTTATTTTGAGTCAGAGTCTCACTGTGTCACCCATGATGGAGTGCAGTGGCACTTTCACAGTCACCCCAGCGTTGACCTGCTGGGCTCCGGTGATCCTTCCGCCTCAACCTTCCAAGTAGCCAGAACTACAGGCGTGCACTACCACACCCGGCTAATTTTTTATTATTGTAGAGTCGTGGTCTTGCCAAGTTTCCAGGGCTGGTCTCGAACCTGAGGGCTCAGGCAATCCACTCGCCTCAGCCTCCCAAAGTGCTGAGATTACAGGCTGAGCCACCACGCCCAGCGGGGAAATCAGTGATGTAATTTGACAAGCATTGCAAAGAAAGTCCAGGTTGGTAGAGGAAGTAAATGGGAATACGAGGGCTTCTGGTCTCCTTCACATCATATCTCATGAACTTCACCCTTTTCCACAAAAACAGCCAGGAAAATATCATTTCTCTTTATGTTGTGTGGCATCAAATAAAAGCGCAGTTTATATTAAGATCATTCATTTCTACCATTCTCTAAGGACCAAGCTCCTTAGAATTTCTAAGACAAGGGTTGGCAAACTTTTTCTGTAAAAGGCAGGTGGTAAATACTTTGGGGTTTGTGTGTCATATGGCCTCTCTCACAATTACTTAACTCTGCCCTTGAAGTGGGAGGGCAGCCATAGACAAAATGTAAACAAATAGATGTGGCCATGCCACAATAAAACTTTATTTACAAAAACAGGCAGGAAGACAGACTTGATCCATGGGATATAGTTTGCCAATCCCTGACCTAAGAAATGAAAATCCCCAAACTGTACGTATTTCAACTAGAGTGGATACACAAGCGTGAGAAGATCCAGTGGTAACCTTGAATCCGGAGTCACAAAGGGCATTGAAACAAGCTCTGTATAATCATAGAAGAAGCTCTCTGCTATTTTCTTCTTAACTTCCTCCTTTGCCACTTCCACAGATGGGACAGGGGTTTCCTGAGATACTAAAAAATTGAAATATTTTAACTAAGAAGAGTGTCTGGTGAATCCAAAATGTATTTCCCAGAGACAGGAGGAATGTACATAGGCTGCACCACTCTAGCAGTTAAATACTACACCGGCCTGAACATAGGATGCACCCACCAATGAGCATGGGAGGAAAGCCACCATGCCCGTGTGTAGAACTCTCACTAATCTGTAGTGGAGTACTTTTCAGACCTTCTCAAAATCCAGAAGACCAAATATGAGAGTTCTGTATGTGACCCTCAGGAATGAAATATACAATTCCAGAGCTGTTAAACTGCTCTACCAATATGTGTGCAATACTTGTCCTTTTATCATTCTCACACATCCTGCATATTTTTCTTTTTATGGATTTATAATGGTTCAATGTGTCTGGACTATCTTTATCTTTAAGACAATGACAATTACTGATAGAAAACTAATAATACCTACCTCTAGTGCTTTCCAAATTGTCATCTTGAGATGAACCCAAACTTCCTTCCAAAAGTTCCTCATCTGAGTCTTCTTCCCCCTCAGTAAATGTTTCATCTGTGGCATCTTTTGAAAATATATTATCTTCTTTATTAGGAGCTATTATAATTTGTCTTAGCAATTTCTAAATTTTGAATTAACATTTTCTTATTTTCAAAGTAGCTAAAACTTCCAATTTGCTGTACTCTAGATGTAATAAGGCTTTTTTTTGTTTTTGTTATTTTTGTTTTTGAGTTGGAATCTCACTCTGTCGTCCAGGCTGGAGCGCAGTGGCTCACTCACGGTCACCCCAGCATTAACCTGCTGGGCTCCAGTGATCCTTCGCCTCAGCCTGCCAAGTAGCTGGAACTACAGGCGCATGCTACAATGCCCGGCTAATTTTTGATTTATTGTAGAGACAATGTCTCGCCAAGTTGCCTGGGCTGATCTCGAACCCGTGGGCTCAGGCAATTCACTTACCTTGGCCTCCCAAAGTGCTGGGATTACAGGCTGAGTCACCAAGCCTGGCCAAATAAGTTTTAATACATACTCAAAAATTACTAGAAGAATTTTATTTGGTCATTCTTGTTACTTTACAAAATGAAAAAGCATTTTCTATTTGTTATTCTCCATTGTTACTTCATTTCCAGTCTATTTCCTATCATTGCATACTTACAGGGAAATAAAAGATAAAGAAAAAAGAGAAGTTAGTATGCTGCTATTACAATTTCAACTTGATTCACTTCAATTTTACCAACTTTTATAGAAGACTTGTTATGTTAAAGACAAACAAGGTTTACTGAAGAATAGTGATCCCTAAGTATGCTTATTTCTCTTGGAAGTGATATGCCAGGAATAAGTTAGAATATTGGATTCAGGGGGCGGGGGAAAAAAAAGAATATTGGCTTCAGGATAAGCTGGGAATGAGAATTGGGATGGGAACAGAAGGACTCCAGGTATAAGCTAATATTCCCAATCATGGATATGGTTAAAATATACAATGTCAAGCAGGTGAAAGATAGGACTGGATGAACTTTCAGAAGAACAAGGAAGAAATGGCAAGTGTACTACTAGAGCTACCTAATAGACCTATCTGAAGCAAGGCTAAAAGATTAGGAAAAGGCCCAAGACTGATATGACTAAGAAAGAAAAGCCCATCTGAGCCAATTAGCTGGACAATAAGACAGAGTTTCTCAGGATTCATGAATTAGGATGTGAAGAAAATAATCCTGGTTACCTAAATGCCTCAAACACAGTTTGTAGTCCCTAAGGGAGGTCTCTGGGGAACTACTCTCTAATAATACCTTAGCTCTTTCTTGTGACTAAGGCAACCAAAGACTATTTCCTTATCTCAAGATCATGGTATTAAAAACTTAACATTCTTTCAACTGCTGGCCTTCTTTGGGAAAGAAGTTAAAACTAGTAGATGAGTTAAAGGCTAAGGCTAAAATGACGTGATCGCTGATAAAGGAATTAAGAATCAATACAGGCTGGGCAGGGTAGCTCAAGCCTGTAATCCCAGCACTTTGGGAGGCCAAGGCAAGAGGATTGCCTGAGCCTATGGGTTCGAGACCAGCCTGGGCAACATGGTGAGACCTCTTCTCTACAGTAAATCAAAACATTAGCTGGGTGTGGTAGCATGCGCCTGTAGTTCCAGCTACTTGGAAGGCTGAGGCAGAAGAATCACCAGAGCCCAGCAGGTTGACACTGGGGTAGCCGTGAGTGTGCCACTGCACTCCAGCCTGGGCGACAGAGTGAGACTCCAACTCTAAATAAAAAAAAAAAAAAAAAAAAAAAGAATGAACACAAAAGAAGGAGAATAAATAATAAAAATAATGGATATTCTGAGCCTGGAAGAAAGGTTGTGTCACTGATGGAAATTAATGCAATTATTGATATGGTTGGATTTTTTTCTTTTTTTTTGAGTTGGAGTCTCACTGTGTCGCCCAGACTAGAGTGCAGTGGCCGCTCCTGGCCACCGCAACCTCGCCTGCTGGGCTCCGGCGATCCTTCCGCCTCAGCCTTCCCAGTAGCCAGAATTACAGGCATGCGCTACCACGCCCGGCTGATTTTTTAATTTATTGTAGAGATGAGGTCTCGCTGCCCAGGTGGGTCTCGAACCCGCGGGCTCAGGCAATCCACTCACCTCAGCCTCCCAAAGGCGCAGGATTACAGGCTGAGCCACTGAGCCCGGCTGATATGGTTGGATTTTAATAACATTAACATGTACAATTAACAAATAACATTCGATAGTGCATTTTCTGTTTTTCTCCTCCCGTCTCTCCTTTTCCCCTCTGTTTCACTTTCCTTGTTTTCTTTTAGATTGTTTATTCTTATTCTTTGAAATTATTTATTCTTTGGAATTTTATTTTAATTTCTGTTGACTTTTTAGCAATTCTTTTTTTTAAGTGGTTGCTTCAGAAATTATAACTTTTCACAGTATAACATTATTATTATAGTAACATGGCTTTCAGCAATTGATAGAACTAGTCAAAAATTTAATAAAGACTTGGATGATATGAAGGTCACTAGTAACCATTCTGATTTGATATTTATAAATATAAGGTGCACATTCAAGCACACATGGATAATTTACCAAGACAGATCACTTAGCGGGGACATAAGACCAGTTTTAATATATTAAAAAGATTGAAATCACATAGAATATATATATCCTCTGATCACAACAAATGTAAATTAGAAACAAATAACAATAAGATACCTGGGAAAAATCCTCAAATATTTGAAAATTAAACAACACAGTAAAAAGTAATGCATGGGTCAGGGAGATATTAACAAAGGAAATTAGAAAATATTTCAAATTTAATTATAGTTAAAATACAACATATCAGAATGTGCAGGATAGAGCTAAAGTAGTACATAGAGGGAAATTTATAGCTTTTAATACATATATAATAAAAGAAAAAAGTCAAAAAAAAATCTATATTTCCACCTGAAAAACTAGAAAATGAAAAAAAAAATCCAAAGTAAGTAGAAGAAAGGAAAGGAAGTAATAAAAGCAATAAATAATATAATTTTTGAAAAGAGCAGGAATCTAGCCAGGTGAGGTGGCGCACGCCTGTAGTTCCAACTACTTGGAAGGCTGAGGCGGAAGGATCGCCGGAGCCCAGCAGGTCGAGGCTGCAGTGGCTGAGAGCAGCCATGGCACTCCAGTCTGGGCGACATTGTTAGACTCCAATTCAAAAAAAAAAAAGAGCAGGAATCAATGAAATAAAAAGTCAACAAACAATAGGGATAGCAAAGCCAAAACCCTACTCTTTGAAAAGATCAATAATATTGATAGACTCCTAGCTAGACCACTCAAGAAATAAAAGGAACAATACAAATCTCCAATATCAGGAGTGAAACCAGATTCTACACAGTCATGCCAACAAATCTGACAATTTAGAAAAAATGTACAAATTCCATGAAAGACACAAACTTGCAAAACTTGGTAAAAACCATTGAATTCATGGTAAAAATTTTCCCATTAAGTAGACTCAAGGCCCAGATAGCTTCACTGGTAAATTCTACCAAATATTTAAAGAAACAATACCAATTCTACACAAAATATTTCTAAAAATAGAAGGGAACAAAATACTTCCTAAATTATTATAAAAGGCCAGCAATAATTCAGTCCTTTGATAAGAATCAAAAATCAATAACTCAGTCCTTTACCCTGTGCGAACCGGTAGCTGGTCTGGCTGGTACACTTGACCTAAATTTCTTTTCTTTTTTTTTTTTTTGAGTTGGCGTCTTACTATGTGGCCCAGGCTGGAATGCAGTGGCACGCTCACGGCCACCCCAGCGTCGACCTGCTGGGCTCCAGCGATCCTTCCGCTAATTTTTTTTTTAATTTGTTGTAGAGACGAGGTCTCGGCTAGCCGGGCGTGGGAGCGCATGCCTGTAATTCCGGCTACTGGGAAGGCTGAGGCGGAAGGATCGCCGGAGCCCAGCAGGTCGAGGCTGCGGTGGCCGGGAGCGGCCACTGCACTCCAGTCTGGGCGACCGAGGGAGACTCCAACTCGACAAAAAACAAAACAAAACACCCGTGATGTATGAACTAATTTACAAGCTGAGCACAGGGCCCAGACACACTTGAGAAGGCCTGCCCTTACCGTAAGAGGATCTGACATAAGAAAAGGAGGTCCTGGCCGGGCTCGGTGGCTCAGCCTGTAATCCCGCGCTTTGGGAAGCCCAGTGAACTGCCTGAGCCCGCGGGTTCGAGACCCGCCTGGGTAACTTGGCGAAACCTCATCTCAACAACAAATCAAAAAATCAGCCGGGTGTGGTAGTGCGCGCCTGTAATTCCGGCTACTCGGAAGGCTGAGGCAGAAGGTTCGTGGGAGCCCAGCAGGTCGAGGTTGCAGTGGCCGGGAGCGACCACTGCACTCCAGTCTGGTTGACAGAGTGAGACTCCGACTCAAAAAAAAAAAAAAATAGAAAAGGAGGTCCTTAGGCAGTGCTAGACAGAAGTTCGTTATCATAAAATCTATCCAGGGAAAGTTGAGAGCAGCATCCAGGAAAACACTGCCAAGTACTTGAAACCAAAAAGCAGACAACCCTGTGTCAGAAATGTAGGGTGTGTAGGGTGGGTGCTGGTGACTCATGCCTGTAATTCCAGCATTTTGGGAGGCTGAGGTGAGAGGACTGCTTGAGGCCAGGAGTTTGGAACCAGCCTGGGAAACATAGCAAGACCCTGACTCTACAAAAAATTTAAAAAACTAGCTAGGTGTAGTGGCACACACTGGTAGTCTTAGTTACTTGGGAGGCTGAGGCAGGAGGACTGCTTGAGCTCAGGGGAGGGAGGCTGCAGTGAGCCAAGATCACACCACTGTACTTCAGCCTAGGCAACAGAGCAAGACCTTGTTGAAAGGGATGGAGACGAAGGGAGGGGAGGGGAAGGAAAGGGATATGGGAGAGAAGGGGCAAGGAGGGAAGGGGGAGTAGAGGGCAGGGGAGGGCAAGGAGGGAGGGAGAGAGAGAAATATGGGGAGTTCAGAAAAGTGGAAGTGGAAAAACAAGAAAGGAACAAGTTAAAGTTTTTGAGGCAAGTGCTATAACCACACTTTTTGGAAAGATGTCTCTAGTGGTGTCCTGGAGGGAGACCCAGACCGGAAGACTTAAATAGAAATCCATGTTGCAAGAGTCCAAATTTAGAAGAGAAATTCCTAAAATAAAATGTAATGTGGAGAAACTGTAGGTGCACAAAACATGTCTGAGATAGACTAAAATAATGTAATGCAAATTTTGTGTATTATTGATTTTCCCAGAACCTGATCTCCTCTAAGTAGACAGACAAAATTAAATTTCTGAAAGTATATTTAGGATTAGAACATGAAAAGATCAAGACTCCACTAAGATACCTAACATCATGATGTTCAGTCAAAAAGAGCCAGCTATCCCTTAAAAATCGTAGTTACAAAATTCCTCATTTTCTCTTCTACTGCAGTCTATAGAATTCTTCCACAGGTTAGGTGATTAATTCCCAAGTGACTCAAAATGATTGCGTTAATGGGTGAGAATACTGAGGCTTAGAAAGGTATAGTCATTTCTCTAAGATCAAGTATCTCTAAGTGGTAGACCCAGGACTCAAAACCAAAGTCCAGCTCTCTTTCCACTACATTATATCAAAAACATTCATTAAAGACTTAGCAGCCCAGGCACGGTGACTCTTACCTGTAAGCACAGCACTTTGGAGGCTGAGGTGAGAGGATTGCTTGAGTCCAGAAGTTAGAAACCAGTGTAGGCAACATAGCAAGACCTTATCTCTACCAAAAAAAAAAGTTGGGCATGGTGGCATGTGCCTCTGGATGGAAGGCAGAGGCAAAAGGATCACCTGAGCCCAAGAGGTCGAGGCTGTGCTGAGCCATGATTGTGCTACTGCGCTCCAGCCTAGACAACAAAATAAGACTCTGACTCAAAAAGAAAAAAAAAAAAATTAGCAGAGAAATCTAGACCAAATGTGCAGAGATGATAGTAACTTCTATGTGCCAGGAGCTGGAAATAAATGATTAAAACACAGACTCTGCTGCTCTTAAGGAACTTCAAGTTTTGTAGGGGAGTCAAACAAGTAAACCATTTCTGTCCCATAAACTCAGATACATACTCTTTAAAAATTATCTCACCTATTTTTCTTTTACTTTTTAGAAGAGTATTTTTATTTTTGTTGAAATTTGCATCCACAATTTTAAAAAGGCAAGTAGTACTAAAAGATTTATTTTAAAAATACCCAGCTGTCCCTGGTTAATAACCTTCTCTATTTCTCGAGAAGCAGTCATTTTAGCTTTTGATCTTTTTTCTTCTGGTATTTACCTCCATATTTCTAAATAATATAGATACACTGCTCTTTCTTGATTAATCACTTCTAGACTGTGTTTAACAGGGGTGATAAGAATTTTAAATCTCTATTACCACTTGCTATCTTTCTCAATATAATTAAAACACTACAAAATTATTGCAAAATCCATGTTTACTGTTTTTATTTTATTTTTATTTTTTATTTTTGGGTTGGAGTCTCACTCTGTCGCCCAGGCTGGAGTGCAGTGGCATGCTCATGGCCACTGCAGCCTCGACCTGCTGGGCTCAGGCGATCCTTCTGCCTCAGCCTTCAAAGTAGCTGAAACTACAGGCACTTGCTACCAGGCCCAGCTAATTTTTTGATTTATTGCAGCAACGAGGTCTCACCAAGTTGCCCAGGATGGTCTCAAACCTCTGTACTCAAGGCAATCCTCTCACCTCTGCCTCCCAAAGTGCTGGGATTACAGGTGTGAGCCACCACACCAGGTTTTGTTTACTGTTTTTAGTATACTGTTTAATATTGTTCATTCCTAAGCTAAAAATGTATTATTTTATTTTCTTCTTGAACTCATTTTTCTAAAATTAATAATTCTCTCATTTATTTTCACTTTTTTAACTTTCTGTAATCTCTGGCTAAATCTTCCCACATCTTGTCATAATTCTATAAAATTCCACTCAATTCAATTTTCCACATGTACCAGTCAGGCAATCGGCTATTTAATATTTTAACCTTTTCTGCAGATTAAAGCTCTCCCTCACTTGCTTTAGTCATAACTAGTTGTTCTCTGGATGGCTGCCAAGTGCCATCTTAGACAGTCTCTTGCCTTTCACCTATTTTGAATCTCCCAACTCCTGGACCTCATGTAATCTTTTTTCTTAGTTAACTCCATAATTTTGTGGAGTCCACTTTGCTGCACTTTTCTGAAAAAAGGGAGTGTGAGAAATATATTTCATGAAACACTGCTCTTTTTGTTCTACTTAAAAAATTGATTTATAGTTTAAGTGTTTACTTAAACTTCATAATAAAAAATATATGTGTATATGAGGGAGGACCCCCAAAAAAAAACAGAATTATTTTTTGGAGAGCAGGCCCTTGTAGAACAGGCTTCCCATGCTAGTGTTCTAGGAATCTGTTGGCATCAGTGTACCAGCTAGTGTTGCTGTGAGAGGTTGTGTTCAACTTCAGCTAATTTTTTGGGGGGGAGGTTCTTTAAACATGTTTGCCCTTTTTGTGACAGGTGATTTATGAGTGCACTGCCCTCACTGTGGTGAGTGCTCAGCAGTTTATGACTAAAAAGGGCATGACCCCTGTGCCCCACCCTCCCTCTTCACCCAACTTTACCTCAAGTGACTTTTTTTGTTTCCCTGGATGAAAAAAGTCCTCCAAGGGAAATGCCTTGCTGAGGTGGAAGAGGTGAAGCCAAAAATGGCAGAAGCACTAAAAGGCATCCAAACCAACAGGTTCAAAAACTGTTTTGAGCAGTGGAGAAAGCATCTCGACAGGTGTATTGCATCAAACAGAAAGCACTTTGAAGGTAATGAAGTTTAAACATGTAAGAATAAATACACAAATTTTTATAAATAAATTCTGGGTTTCTTTGTTTCCCCTCATCTATCGTTATCTTTACTTACGTCTTGACTCAGATTTAGAAGACCACTTCCCATCACTCTTTGATCTATCCGATTTGTCTCCATCAGTATCCTGATCACCCGGTTCCTTCATTTCCTCTGAGTGCAAAATTGAGATAAACGGACAATGCTGTAAAATAGAAATTAACAGATTATTCTCCCTAGACAATTTCACAAGCACCAAGCACCATGTATGTCAATAATCCTATGTTTGCACAGTATCCAAGATGACCCATCACCAGGATGGTGCAACCACCATCAGAGACCTCTGCAAAACAGCAAATTATAATTACAGATATCCTTTTTCCAGTAAACTTGTCATTGTGGGGCACTATGGGTTTCCAGAGGTCCACAGTGGAACACATCACCCAAGTCCATCTTTTCCCCAAATGCTCCATTACTAAAAATAATCTTCTGCCATCCTTCCTTTGGTCCATCCCTCCTTCTTTCTCTTCCTATTATCAAATTCCCTTGGTGTTACTTATCAACTTTAATGTTAAAATATCTGTTGAGCACACCTACGATGTAACAAGTCTTCAGTTTGGCACTAAGTTACGATACTGAACAAGAGAAATATGGCCCCTAACTTTAGGGAGCTTGTTTAGAAAGCAAACAAATGATGAGTGCTACAAAAAGGAAAAAACAGGGTTCTGTGGGCATGCACAGCAAGAAGTCTACACCACGTTTTGGGGTTATCCCACATGTTTGAGACATGGAGGATAATTAATTAGGAGGTAGCCAGGCATAGAATGAGAGAGCACATTAGGCACAGGGAACGTCAGAGAGAGGGTTGCACCTTCGAATGGCTGCAAGCAGTCTATTGGCTAGAGTAGGAGAGTGAAACAGATACTTGAGAAGGCAGGTAGCAGATCACAAGGCTGTCTCTGAGGTTTGCTAAGAAATTCAGACTTTTTTCTATCACAATTAAAAGCCGTTAAAAGGTTTTTAAGAGGGGAGTGGCACATCAGGTTTGCTCTGTTCTCTGTCTATATTGCAGCTCTTTGTGTACTTCAGGACACCTCTTATACCTTCCAAGTCATCACTTTTCTATACTAAACAGCTCATGCTTCCTCAACATCTTTCTACGACATGACTGGCAAATAGAACAAAAATTCTATTTGGATCAGATTTATGGTTAGATTAGGGTTTGAATTCCAGTATTGACATGTAGCTAGCTAATTAAACTTTACATCAATTCCTCACCTGTAATGGGAATGAAGAAGCAAACTTTACAAGGTTGTTATGAGGATCAATTGAATTAGTACATTATTATATCTTCCTGGTGTCTAAAGATGGACTAGTATGTCAAACACAGATATGATATATACTATATGGTCAGTGGAGAGTACAGTATAGCTACTGCCTCCCTTCAACTGGGCATTAGGGGTCATGCCATCTGTTTTCTTGCAGTGACATATTAATGATGGTTTTTCTTGGTTTGGGGGACATAGTACATTGTTCAAGTAGTTATGTTATAAACTATAATCAAGAAAGATATGCCCTAACATAATACTCATGTCATTAAATTTTTGTGTTTAGTACTTTGAAGCCATTTTTCTGGGTTATCAAGATAGTGTTTTAACTTTTAAAAATTGTGTGAATGGTGCTTTTTTTTTTTAAGCTGTTCTCTCTTCCTTTCTTCCTTCCTTCCACCTGATTATAGAATATATGCCCTTTGGGGTTTGGAGGGTGAAGTTAGGAATGAAATGATAGAAAAATTATAAGCAGCAAAAATCTTCAAATTCAAGCTCTATCATTCAGTATATCCCTTCTCCCTTCCACTTTTGGACACACAGGCTTATTTTCTATGTTTATAATAAGCAATTGATTAAAAAAAGAATGAATTGTGCAAGGCAATGCCAATTATCACAGAGCTTGATTATAAATTGCCACATAAGCCGGGCTCGGTGCCTCAGCCTGTAATCCCGCGCTTTGGGAGGCTGAGGTGAGTGGATTGCCTGAGCCCGCAGGTTCAAGACCCGCCTGGGCAACTTGGAGAGACCTCATCTCTACAATAAATAAAATAAAATAAAATAATAGCTAGGTGTGGTAGCGCGTGCCTGTAGTTCCACCTACTCAGAAGGCTGAGGCAGAAGGATCGCCGGAGCCCAGCAGGTCGAAGCTGCGGTGGCCGGGAGCGGCCGCTGCACTCCAGTCTGGGCAACCGAGTGAGACTCCAACTCAAAAAATGAATAAATAAATAAATAAATTGCCACATACTGTGAGTAAAATTGTTCAGATAGTCACCAGCATACCTAAATTCCATTTTCTCCCTTGCTTTTAAGGTTCCTCATAATTTAAGTCAATGTAATTCTTACAATGATTGAGCATATTTATATATAAACTATATTGTGGTAGGCACTGCAGAGGCTACAAAGAAGAACAATATATAGCCTTTGACCTTGAGTTATAATTCAAGAAGTAGAAACCAACAATTCTCTTTGAAAATGGACTCAGAGCCGGGCTCGGTGGCTCAGTCTGTAATCCCGAGCTTTGGGAGGCCGAGGTGAGTGAATTGCCTGAGCCCGCAGGTTCAAGACCCGCCCGGGCAACTTGGTGAGACCTCATCTCTACAATAAATCAAAAAATAAGCTGGGCATGGTAGCGCGCGCCTGTAGTTCCAGCTACTCAGAAGGCTGAGGCGGAAGGATCACCGGAGCCCAGCAGGTCGAGGCTGCAATGGCCAGGAGCGTGCCACTGCACTCCTGTCTGGGCGACGGAGCAAGATTTCAACTCAAAAAAAAAAAAAAAAAAGAAAATGGACTCAGAATAAATGTCTCTTCTAGGTCACTGATCCAGATCCATCTGAGATTGACTAGAGCTAGGATGGTCTGATAGTTATGACTGAAGTGATGACCATCAATAATGATTTCTTTGATAAAAATCAACATTTAAAGTATTGAAAAGAAATCAAACTACTAAGTGCCGTGATGTAGGCCTCAAATAAGTGAAGGCAAGGTGGTTACTAGGTTTGCCAACAAAACTGAACAGATAGTCTATTGCTGCTCACCAGTTGAGAGCTAAATGAAAATTCTTAGTCTGTGAGTTTCACACTTAGCTCTGTAAACAGGTATTGTTTTTCGTTTGCTGCCATACAACTGCCAGAAATTTAGCAGCTTAAATAACATCCATTTATTATCTCACAGTTTTGTGGATCAAAAGTCCAGGCCGAGTGTGACTCAGCTGGTTCTCTGCTTAGAGTCTCACATGGTTGAAACCAAAGTGCTGACAGTGCAGCCTTCATTTCTGGAGTCTCTGGGGAAGAATCTGTTTCCAGGCTCATTTAGGCTGCTGGCAGAATTCAATCCCATGTGGTTGTGGGACTGCGATCCTTGTTTTTTTTCTTGCTGGCTGTTGTCCAAGAGTCCTTCTGAGCTTCCAGAGGCCATCCACATTCCTTGGTTAATGCCCCCCCTATAAAGCCAGGAATGACAGGTCATTTCCTCTCAATGATTAGAATCTTGCTTGCTTGCCATCACACGTAAGCTTGATGAGCTCACTCTCTACCTTTTAGTCTTCTTTGTTCTAAATACATTTATTTTTAACATACTATAACCGAATATTAACTGGATGTAAGTCCTAATAAAAAGAGCCTATAATTTATTCATAAGACAATCATAAGATGGGTAAAAAACAATGACGGTAACTGAAGCACTCTGTAAACAAAGTAGCTGAACCACAACAAAAAGTAAGTTGGTATCAAGAAACAAATCCAGTTAATGTCAGGTTGTATACAGTATGGATAAAATACTGGAACCCTGGCCAGGCTCGGTGGCTCAGCCTGTAATCCCAGCACTTTGCGAGGCTGAGGTGTGTAGATTGCCTGAGCCTGCAGGTTCAAGACCAACCCGGGCAACTTGGTGAGACTTCATCTCTACAGTAGAAAATTAGCTGGGTGTGGTAGTGCACGCATGCAGTTCCGGCTAATTGGAAGGCTGAGGTGAAAGGATTGCTGGAGCCCAGCAGGTTGATGTTGGGGTGGTCATGAGTGTGCCACTGCACCCCAGCCTGGGTGACAGAGTGAGAATCCAACTCAAAAAAAAAAAAAACAAAAAAAAAACTGGAATCCAAAGAATTTGCCCTGTGTTTTGAAGTAGCAGTACTGGACAATAAATACTGGGATGTATTCTCAGCTTTTCTGGGTCATAAAAGATGACTAAAGAACCTGTCAAAGGTCAGGCATAGTGGCTCACACCTGTAATCCCAGCATTTCGGGAAGCGAAGGTGAGACAATTGGCCTGAGCTCAGTGGTTCAAGACCAGCCTGAGCAACATGGCAAGACTTTATCTCTACAATAAATCAAAAAATCAACTGGGCGTAGTGGCGCATACTTGGGGTTCCAGCTACTTGGAAGGCTGAGGCAGAAGGCTAGCCTGAGCCCAGTAGGTGAGGCTGCAGTGGCTGTGGGTGTACCACTGCACTCCAGCCTGGGCGACAGAGTGAAACTCCTACTCAAAAAAAGAAAATAAAAAAATAAAAAGAACCTGTAAAAAGTCGTCAAGCAGGTCAGATGGGAGAGGCTCCTTGAGAGTATCCGTATAATTAATGAGATGGAATAAGGTATTTTTTGTTTGGTTTTTTTGTTGTTGTTGTTTGTTTTTTAGAACAAAAGAATCAGGGAGTTGTATTGGAACCTCAGGAGGCTTCAGGAGGCAGACAGACTTGGGTTCACATCTGGTAGAGTTGTTGTAAATATTAAATGACATCTTTTATATCAAGAGTTCTCAACTCTGACTACACTTTAGAATTACTAGGAAACAAACCACTAACAGGGTCGCACTCCTTATGTAATTCTTTTGTGCAGCTAGGCATAAGAAAAAGGATTAAAGACCATGAGTTTAGAGTGCCACTGCACTCCAGCCTGGGTGTTCTGAGACTCCAACTCAAAAATAAAAAATTAATTGCAAGTGGGGAGAGGGAGTTAGGGTTCAGAAACTACCTATGAGGTACAATGTTCACTATCTGGCGAATGGGCCACCAGAGACCCAATTCCCACCACTATACAATATATCCATACGATGAATATTTATGTGCACTCCCTGAAATTAACATTTTAAAAAAACAGAAAAATAGGCCAGGCTCAGTGGCTCAGCCTGTAATTCCAGCAACTTTGGG